CCTCTGCAAGGCTGCTCATGCTGCTGGGGCGCCAGCCCTGCTCTTCAGCAGGTCCTGCTTGGGCTCCAGGACCCAGCTGTCACCTCTTCCAGGAAGCCTTTCGCCAGTTCTGAGCGGGCATCCACCGGCCCCGGTCCAGGCCTCGGGCGTCACACTTCTGTGCGCACATCTCTTCCCAGCCCTGGGCGGGGGCTCTCCCAGTTCAGACCCCCGACCCCAGGCCCACCCAGGACTCAGGCGGGTACGAGGCATGAGGAGCAGCACCCCCCAGGCTCCCAGGAGCACCCCAGGATGAAGGGGAGTCACAGGGGAGAACAAGCCATTATGCAAACACAGGGTACCAATCGTTAGAGCGATCTAAAAATAGGCCTCCCATTTCGGGCCTAGTTGGCTTGATAAAGCGTTTTTAAGTGGCGATACTCTGTTCATTTTTTCTACCAGCTGCTCTATTATGCAATTATGCGTTGCTCAGTGTCCTCGAAAGTGAGCTTAGAGCCCTGGAGAGCATCGTGTCTGTCCAGTGTCACCCCTTCAAACGTGGGGGCCTGCTCTGGGCCCTGGAATCGGTTCCGGCTCTGAGACCCATGCTGCCCACGTGGTGTAAGCCCCCAGATGTGGCGCGTCGGGCCGAGCTGTGTGTGGCAGGACATCAGCCGTTTCGCTAACAACCTGCTGTGCCGATTACGTGCTGAGTGAGCAACGTGCCGGACATGCCGGGCTAGATAAAAACACGTTCCTAACTGTCTCTTTTTCTTTCTTTCTTTCTTTTTCTTTTTTTTTGATGTGGCTGCTAGAAAATTTGCAATTGCACGTGCGGTTCGTGCTCGATTTCTCCCAGACAGCACCACCACATTCCTCGGGAGCCGGGCAGGCGCTGTGCTGCCCACAAGGTCACTGTGACCTTCCCAACCGTTCCCAGAAGCAGATCCAGACACTGCCTGTCACGCGCAGGGAAACTGAGGCATGGAAAGATGGGGACCTTGCCCAGGGACACACAGGTAGCACACGACAGAGCCGGGGCTCCCAGGGCCGTGTGACAAGACGACCTTGGTGGCTTTGGGAACAAGGCGTGACGGGAGCAGCACGCTGGCTTTCGGTGTGACGGGAGGTGGCTCTCACCGTGGAGCTGCGTCTTTCGGCTGAGGCTGTGTGACCCTCAGTAACCCACTGGGCTGGGGTGACATCGGGGGCTGCGAACGACCCAGATGCCCCCGGGAGGAACGGCCTTTCTAAGGAGTGTTCTCGGGGGCCCCGCACAAGAGACCCACACCTCTCCTCCGCGCGCGCCCCTCCTGCAACCCCCCCACGCGGAAGTGGGTTGTGGGGGGTCTCACGCCTCCTTATACCTCCAGCTCCTGCAAACACAGAACGTGCTCAGTAACCAGACGGCATGACGATCGACCGAATGAGTGAATGGGAGCAGACGAGGCCGCTGTCACACGGCGGTGCCTCGCTGGTGCCCCAGGAGCCGCAGCAGGTCCCCCGCCGAGAGACAGCTGCACACGGAGCCATGCCTGGCCCTCCCTCAGCGGCCGCTGAGGCCTGAGCCACTGGGCAAGGCTCTTTAGAATCACAAGGTGACCGTCACTGCTGGCACCCGGTCAGGAGCCCAAAGGAAAGAGTCAGCCGGTTCTGCTGAAAACGCCACCCTCGGCTCCCTGCCGCCTGGGTCGGAGGCGGCCCCTGCCCGGCCCCAGCCCGGCTCCTCACACGGCCACGTCCCCCCCATCCCCCGCCCCGCCGCAGCCCGTGAAAAATGGCATTTCTGTTTGTCTTGTAAACTGCCGTAATGGGTAATATCAACCCCAGGTCCACGGGGACAGGATGCTAGGAAATCTCGCTTTCAGTGAAAACAGAAGGGAAAAAAAAAAACCATGAAAAATTTATTAAACTGGAGCCGCTGGGACTAAGTTAAAGACTCACATTCATCTGCGCCCCAGGATCTGTGATCTACGTCCACGGTACGGGGAACAAAGGCCCCCTCCTCACATCGGGGTGAAGCCACGTGTCTCCCTGACACCCCACATTTTGGGTTGAGAGCACAATCACACCGGAGGAGCCGAGAAAGGGGGACTGGGCACCCTGGGGTGCTGCGGCCCGACTCAGCCCCGCGGGAACCCTGGGAACTGGCCGCGCACAAGCCGTCGGAGACAGCCAGGCGTCCCGGGGGTGCCGGCTGAGGGGAGGGTCTCTGCTGGCACTGAGGGGCTATGTCATGCCAGGTCCTGGCTACGCGAGGAAGCTTCTGGAAAGCAGAGACCCCCAACCTCGGCTTGGTGACTTGGGGAAATGGCGGATCGTGGCGGCCGTCACCCTCGGCACTGACGGGGGTCCCCCCAGGCTCTGGGTGGGTGCGAACTTTGCGTGGTGGGAAGGTTAGGGAACAGACGGGGGTCAAATTTCGGCTCCCCCACTAACCAGCTGAGTGACGTGGGCCAGCGCCTCCCCGTCTCCGGGCCTCAGTTCCCTTATCTGTGACACGGGGCCCTTGCAGAATACACCTCACAAATCGATCGCGGGGCAGGGGGCTCAGGAGACAAAGCGGACGTGAGGAGATGAAGCCCAGCGGTGCCCGGCCCCGCAAGGCTCTGCCAGCACCGCTCGCCATCATCGTCACTATCGCTTGGACTTGCCGTCCCCGTGTGCACGAGGCGCGTGTGACGAAGACGCGGGGTCTGGCCTCGGGCCCCTCCAGGCTACGAAGGCAGGCGTTTAACCCCGCGGATGGCTGAACGGGGCTCGGGGCTCGGGGGTGGGGTGGGGCTGACGCTGCTCAGGCGGGTGAGTACGAGGGGTTTCTCAGAGCGGGAGACACTCAGGCCTGGACGGGGCAGATGAGAAGTGTCCCCGAGATGGAACGCTGCCAGGACGCGGGGCAGGAGGCAGCTCAGCCCTGAGCGCAGAGCAAGGGGCTGCTGGCGGGGCGGGGGCGGGGCCTCCCCCCAGGGGACGTCCCCCCAGGCTGTGAGCCTCGGTTTGCTCACCCCTGCAGTGGGGTGAGCAGTCCCTCATCCAGCCTGACCCCGAGAGGCCCCGCGTGCGGGAGTGTGCCTCTCTGTCCCTGACTCCCGGGACCGGTCAGAGCGGGCAGTGGCATCCAGGTGGGCTGCTCCAGGCCTAAGCTGTGACTTGTGGGGACCCCAGGCCCCATCTCTCCCCTTCAGGGTGCTCTCCGACCCTCTACCCTACATGGGGTCGACCAGACGTCCCAAGGAGTTCCAGAGCTCCCAGTGGGGTCACATGGGGTCGTGGGCGCCCAGCCTCAGGAGGACGGGTGGTGACAGCTGCTCCCGCCGGCATGCCATTCACGGAGTCACATGAGAGCACGCTCGCTGCCAGCTCCCAGCACGGTGCTGACATGGTGTCTGTGAACGGCTCGGACTATCTACATCGACGAGGACCCTGCAGAAAGTATTTGCCGGCGCCACCCGAGAGGCAGCACGGGCGTGCGGGCGACGTCGGGCACACAGGCTGCGCTGGCTCCAGTTCTCGGCCCCGTCTGAGCTACACGGTGACGGGAAGCAGACGTCAAGGGTCCTCCCAGGAGGAGCGGCCCTTTGTCCAGGACGAAGAGAAGCCTGTCGCCAAACGGGAACGGGGCTCCCGGCCAGGAAGCCAGGACAGGGCTCCCTGCCGGGCCCTCAGGCGGTGGCCAGCCAGGTCGGGGGGCTCAGTTCCCCTCCTGCAGGATGGGGCCCCCCTGCCTTCTCCATCCACTGCCCCTTCCCACGGAAGTTGCCAGGCCCCTCCGTGAGCAGCAGGCTCCTGGCCACACAACCCCACCCTGGCCACATGACCCCACCCCCCTACAGGACCCCACGCCCCTGCCCATAGGACCCCACAGAGCCAGAGGATCTCCCCAGGAATAGCCCCTGTCCTGGGTTTTCGAGGGTCCCTGGGGGGGCTCCAGGACTTCACGGAGAGCTAGCCGGGAGGGACGGCCAGGCTCAGGCTTCGTGTGGATTCCTCCAAGAGAGAAATGAAGCCGACACGAAGCTGTACAAAGATGGGGCCACCCAGAGAAGGGGGGCGCCCTGCGGCTTCAGGCGGCGGGTCTCAGGCCAGCCCCCCTGGCCCCCGCCCCCAGGCCCCAGACAGCCCGAGCCCACACACCCCCTCTGCTGCAGCCTCTGCTCCGGGGGCCCCTGCTCTGCAAGCACCCACTCCCCTCACAACACAGCACCCAAGCCCCCCCAAGAAGCCTCCCAGCCCAGCTGCCCCAGCAGCTTTGCAAAAGAAAGCCCCCCTTGACCTCTGACCCCGGGCAGAAGGCCACTCCCACATCACTGCCAGGCATACTGGAGAGCCTTCCAGAAGGTGGAGGCAGGTGTGACATGCAGAACCGCTCACATTTGGGAGCACACGCCTGGCTCTGGTGTGGGGTCCCACACCGCAGCCAGTCGCTAGGCCGGCCTGCTCCGGGGGGCTGCCCTGTCCCCTCGCGCCCCGTCCCTTACTCAGCCAGCCTCCTCCGGGGGGCCACCCTGTCCCCTCGCGCCCCGTCCCTTACTCAGCCAGCTCCTCCAGGCTGCGGTAGACGTCGTCGTCATTTTCTGCGGTCTCCTCGGAGGGGAAAGGCCTGTGGGACAGAAGAACAGTGAGGTGGGCAGGAGTCGGTGGTGCCGCCAGCCCCGGCCAGGCCCCCAGCCTTCTAGCCACCTCCGCCCCTGGAATGTGAGCCCTGCTTGGCTCTGCCAGGGGAGCAAGGGCTCTGCCTGCAATCCCGTGGAAGGACATGTCCGTGTGACCCTGACACGTGTCACCAAACCAGCCAGGCAGAGGTGCCAGCAGCGGGGAGACCCATGCCCAGCTCAGCCCAGGGACACTAAATAGTCACTCCCTGTCTCTGGGCCCCAGTGAGGAGACTGAGTCAGGGACGGCAGGAAGCTTTCGTCTCGTGTGACACTCCTGCCCCCACGTGCCAGGGGAATTCCAGAAGCGGGGGTGTGGGTGTGGGGCTCCCCCAGGCACCCTCGAGATGTGGCACCGCACGGGAGGCTGCCAGCTCACGCAGCTGGAGGACCCAGGAGGAAATCAGGCGGCGAAGGGTGGAGCTTTGGGGCACCGGCTTCCACCCCCAAGGATAGGGCCCCTCGGGGCCAGGTGACAAAGGCAGCCCCTGCTGGGGGAGCTGCCCGCCACCTGCACTGGCCAGTGCCTGTGAGGACGATGGCGCTCGCCCACCATGCCTGACCAGCAGCCCACCGGGGCCCGGCCGGGGGTCAGCATGCCCCGGAAAGCTTTCTGACCTGCTGGCCAGGCCGCCTCCCTGCACTGACCGGCCTCCCCCAGGAGCAGGAGCCACGTGGGGGCGAGCCCCAGGAGGCCTGGCGGGTCTCCTGGGATGTCCACCCTCGGAGGGTGGACGACCGGGTGGCTGGGGCCACCAGTCAGTGTCACCAAGGGAGGCAGTGCGCAGCCTTGAGCAGCTGTCCTCTCCCAGTGCCCACTCCCTCGCCCTGCAGGTCATCCCCACTCGACCACACGCTGTCCCCTGACGCCATCCCCAGGCCCCCAGCCCCTGCCGGATTCCGTGCCCTCAGCCCCGAGCCTCAGGAGCCGGCTACTCATCTCTACCTCCGGCTCCCCCTCGCTAGCCCCTGGACCTGTCTCCACCCCCCAACGAAACCGTCCTTATCAAGGGTGACAGTGACCTTCGCACTGTCGAACCCAAAGGCTGGGGATGAGCACTCTGCAGTGGGTGAGGGACGGGGTGCAGCCCTGCCAGGCGCAAACGCTGTCCCGAGGAACCGGACAGGGTGTGGGCACTTGGGACGGGTGAAAGGGTCCTCTGCAGCAGGCCTTGTCAGAGCCTTTCACGTCTGCACGAGACTCTGGGACACAGAGAGTGGGCCCTGCGTCTGGACTTGAGACCCTTTATTATTTTTTCCATGAAAATTTCACAGTTCCGTATTTGGGGTGCCCCATACCCCTGCCAACTGTCATTCCAAGACGCATCTGGGAGGAGCGAGAGAAGGAGCGTCAGAAATGTTCCCGGGGCGGGCCGGGGGAGGGGGATGAAAGGCGCGGGCTCCAGGAGACAGGTGTGTCCACCTGGGCAGCTCAGAGCCTGGCGGGATGAGAACTCACAGGGAAGACGGGAGCGAAGGGGCTCAGAACGCTGGGGCTCCGGTCCCCAGTCCACTGTGACAAAGCGTGAGCCGGCCTGACTCTGGACACAGGGGCGGGCCCAGCCCGCGCTGCCCAGGTGCTGGGGGCTGGGGGCGCAGGTGAGGAGCACGGGGTCGCTGGGCGCACAGACCGGATTCAGACCCCGGCCTCGCCCTTCCTCTGAGCCTGCGTCTGGAGGGAGCACAGGCAGAGCCGGGGTCACAGGAGAGGGCCCCGGGGTCTGTGACCCCTCAGTGCCACGTGGGGAGCCCTGTTCACAGACCGGAGGAAGGCAGCAGGTCTGCCAGAGACAGCACACGCCTGTCAGAGGCGGCGGGGGGCGCGGGGAGTGACGGGGTGCACCACACGCATCCGGGTCTCCACACCCACCACCGGCCCAGGAAGCCCACATGGCGACCCCTCAGCGA